GAGAAAGTTATTTGATGCAGGAGAGGGTGTGGAGAAAAGGGAACCCTCTTACACTGTTGGTGGGAATGCAAATTAGTACAGCCACTATGGAAAACAGTGTGGAGATTTCTTAAAAAGCTGGAAATAGAACTGCCATATGATCCAGCAATCCCACTTCTGGGCCTACACACCGAGGAAACCAGATCTGAAAGAGACACGTGCACCCCAATGTTCATCACAGCACTGTTTATAATAGCCAGGACATGGAAGCAACCTAGATGCCCATCAGCAGACGAATGGATGAGAAAGCTGTGGTACATATACACCATGGAATATTACTCAGCCATTAAAAAGAATTCATTTGAATCAGTTCTAATGAGATGGATGAAACTGGAGCCCATTATACAGAGTGAAGTAAGCCAGAAAGATAAAGACCATTACAGTATACTAACACATATATATGGAATTTAGAAAGATGGTAACGATGACCCTATATGCAAAACAGAAAAAGAGACTCAGATGTATAGAACAGACTTGTGGACTCTGGGAGAAGGCAAGGGTGGGATGTTTCAAGAGAACAGCATCGAAACATGTATATTATCTAGGGTGAAACAGATCACCAGCCCAGGTTGGGTGCATGAGACAAGTGCTCGGGCCTGGTGCACTGGGAAGACCCAGAGGGATCGGGTGGAGAGGGAGGTGGGAGGGGGGACCGGGATGGGGAATACATGTAAATCCATGGCTAATTCATTTCAATGTATGACAAAAACCACTGCAATGATATAAAGTAATTAGCCTCCAACTAATAAAAATAAATGAAAAAATAAATAAATAAATAAAATATACCTGAGCTTAAAAAAAAAAAAAAAGAAAGTTATTTGACAAATACTTACTGAGAATTTAAGAGTTAAATGTTAAGAGCTAGGAGATTCTGAAATACCTGGATTCAGTGGGATCACTCCTGCAAGAATGATCTCAAATGTCTGTATGACAGAAACACATTATTCTCACACATGTTCATACTGTGAGAAACAAAGGTATAATATGCATGTGCTTTTCCTGCTGCATGTATTATTGTTCAACAACCTTTATGGAGTCCCTGCTATGTGTCAAGAAATTTACATATTCATTTATTCAATGAAGTGTTCATTGAGTGTTTACTATATTCTAGGCACTGAGAAAGCCAAAGATATTAGCATGCAACTACCATCCTCAGAAAATCTGTGGAGGATAAAGAGAGAGGATGTAGCCGTGCTCTCAGCTGTCACTCTTTCTAGTCATTTGAACCCAGGGAGATGCAGTCCCTTAAAAACAAACAAACTTGGACCATCACAGGAAGAAGTGCATGGGAATAAGGAGGGCAAGGACTAGAATTGGAGGGGATAGTGTAGAAGAAGGACCTGGTAAGACAGATCTCTGAGCAAAGGAAAAACCTCTTTGCCAAATGACTAAGGGCTAGCATAGGAGACAGTTATGGTGATACTGCAGCTTGTCAGAAGAATCCTTTCTAATAATAAGGTTGTTTCACTCTGTGATTTTTAAGATATGCAAACTTATACTTTGCCAGATTTAAGGGGCTAGATGGAGAATTCTTTTTATAAGCAAAATCATGCAAAAGGAAGATAGAACCTCAAGTTTTCATCTGAGAGGCCACATACAATTCAAATCAGAACCGATGGCCCTCCTGGGACTAAAACAACCTGAAGTGGAGAACACAACCCACATCCCACACAGCCTCTGGACAGTCTCTGACAGCCTGATGATTAATGCATAAACTGGAAAGACATTTCATTGACTGCCTTGTAGTCTCATGAGCACAATGCAGTCAATAAATATTTATTGAATGTAATTTCCTGGGGCTTGCAGCACTTACTCCGTGATAACTTACAACTGAATAAGCAAGAATTATTCAGGGTGGTTACAAATAAATATATAAGTATATGTTAATGGAATCCAAACTACAAATGGACTGCTAGAAAGAAAATCTGCAACCATCTGCAGACAAGTCATCCAAGTGGTACTAGACTTGAGGTAATTAAAAAGAAGTGTGTTTGTCACATAAGCCCCAGAAGTGAGAATTGAAAGAGAAAGAATAAAGGAAAAAAGAAAGGAAAGGAGAGAGATTTATAAATAGCTCTATTTCATACAAATGAAAATATATATGTTTGACTTTAAAAGTTGATCTTTTTTTCCTCTGGCTTTCTATGTACAATACTTTCATCTGTCACTGAAATATCTCCTACACTCAAGAAATGGCAGAGTTAACTGAAATGGGCTTCCAAATTGCAGTTTTTGCAGTAAAAATAAAATATGGCTTTCTGCCACCTATTTGGAGCTATAGCACCAATATGCTGATGCAATTCCTGCTAAGCCCCAGTCACATTACATTCTGAGTGGTATATCACCAGTTTGGGCATGAGGATGAGTATTAGATTACATTCACTTCTGTTTTAACATTTGTTCTGAGTTAAAAGTAAATTAAAACTTTGTATTTGAGATAACATCCAAAAGGGACAGTGTAATTACTACGTTCTCCCTTATGCATTCTCCCTAAGCTCCTGTGAAGTCTGAGAATGCACAGCCACAGTGAAAGCAGGAGCCTGGGAGATGCTGAAGATGAGACAGGCATCTTCATGGCTGCAGGTCCAGCTTCAGAGAGGAAAGATCTTTCCTCTGGGAAATGCTTCAGTAAATAATTCTACAACAGTAATGCAAACACTCAAAAAGACACTAGCCATGACCATGCAGGTTCAGCCACTGGCCAAATTCGAAAGGAGACAACAGTAATTGCACAAATCCACCTCTCTTGGCTCTGATTCCAGGGTTGCCACAACCATTCCATGACCTAAGAGGAAACCAAGACTTTATTGCTGTCAGGCAGCAAAAAAGAGGCAGGACCAAGAGAGAATTCAAGACTTCTCAAGATTCTTTTTAGAATACCACCGCAAGCATGGAAAGTCATCAGTTCTGCAGTACACTGGACCTCCCTTGGAAGTAGCCAGACAATGTTTGATTCACTGCATGTTGAGAGTTGTTTTTGCCCTTTTGATGCTCTGTAGTTGGCAGCTGAGTGACAGATTTTATAGCCACTAACTCACCCAAGGAAACATCCCCAGAGATTTATAGATTATTACTCACCTCCACCACAGTATCTTTTGCAAGTCTCTTTCTGATTCAACTCTCTCCTGACTTCAATACTACCTCCCCTTCGTGTCTTTTTGTTAAGGCATAGTTTTATTTCCCAAATAGGTGATAAAGTTTTCAGGGTCATGCTGACACTTTGTGTTTGGCAAAGCATGAGCACAATGACTGTGATATTTAAACAAGAGTAGAGACATGGGGAGTCAATAATTATGCAATATATTTGTATGTGACACATTGTAACCAGATTTCTTAAGGTTATCATTTTAAAGTGCACAGAAATATCCAATCACAGCATTGTATACCAAGAATGAACATAGTGTTGTAGGTCAATTATACTTCAAAACAAACAAAAGCAAACTCAGAGAAAAAAATGATAAGATTTGTGGTTATCAGAGGTGGGGATTTGGGGGAAGGAGGAATTGGATCAGCCTAGAGATTCTAGATTCCAAACACTGTAAAAGAGAATTACAGGGAGCCAGCTGGCAGCTATTCTATTTGTCTGCTCATTTCTGTCTCCATTGACTTTTCAGTCCCATGGAAGTCAGAAACACCTGCATGTCAGAGAATTAAATGCATGATTCTGAGATTTTCTTGGATACTTAAATCCCAAAAGCAGTATAAGACACAATTCAAAGGGATGGATCCATGAAATTTGCAAGAAAGGAAGTTGTTTTTCAGTGTAGACAGTAGTTATTGGCAGGTATTAAGAGTGCAAAATAGTAACAAAGGGATGGGAAAGGATGTGAGGCATGGCTCCTCTTCCCCCTGTGAGGACTCTGTATCTAGGCCGGTGAGGTAGGAGTACTCGACAGTGGCCACTTTGAGTCCAGCACCCCCTCAAGAACAAGCTTCCTGACTTCCAGGAAGGGAGCAGCACCCCAGAAGGGACATGGGCTATGTTCCAACCCAAGCTGCTTGGTTCCTGCCTACCATACACATCAATAGCTCAGGGTAGTAGTGTTAGGGGACTGGGCTAAACCTATTCTTTTAAAAGGTATTTGACTTTCTGAATGCAGTAGGCAGAATTGATATGATTATAACTGATATGAAATGCTGATTGGAATATTTGTTATTTCTAAAATCTCTGCTGAATTGAAAAGCAACACACAAATCTGGACCTGGGCATTCTTTCAGATGACACCATTCAACGCTCAATCCCAAGCAAGAGATGGAGAAATGGCTCCAGGCCTGAAGTCATCCTTCATTTTCCTTCACTCTTCCTGCAACAGGTTTCATCCACCCTAGCCTTTAATATGCTAAAGTGTGTCTGTCTCAGAAGGTGGAGAGTCTCTTTCTATTCATGAAGCATACATTTTTTTAACCACACACTGAATTGGTGAAGTTTTCTCCAGGAACTATTGCTTTTTGTTGGCTTTAGGACACTGCTTTCTCATTCATACACATTCACTTGCCTTCAGATTGTATGGACCTGTACAGGATTGCTAGCCTTTTAAATTGTCATACCAGGACTTTAAAAACTACTATTTCTATCACGATTATTCCTTAATCTAAAAAAGATAAAGATAGACTTTATGTTGAATAAATTCACAAATTGTTCTTATTTTTCTGATTTTACTGTAAACCACCAACCTATACTGGGGCATCATGTGCCTAGCATTAGAGTTATAAGGATGAAAATTTCTCTCCTTAGATATTGCCAGATGGGTTCTAAAATGTTAAAATAGCTGGCTGATTTTTCTTACAGGTTTTTGCATTCATGTCATAAAAATCACAAAGCTTAAGGTTAGAATAGTTGTAAAAATCACCAGGACTCAAAGGGTTTCTAAGGAATTTTTCACTGGGCAGGAACAATGCATAATCACTAATGCAGATCTTGGTGACCAAATTGGAATTTTGTCCTTTCTTCTCCATTCCAGGTACATGGCCATCATCCACCCCCTCCAGCCCAGATTGTCGGCCACAGCCACCAAGGTGGTCATCTGTGTCATCTGGATCCTGGCTCTCCTCCTGGCCTTCCCCCAGGGCTACTATTCAACCACGGAGACCATGCCCAACAGAGTGGTGTGCATGATCGAATGGCCAGAGCATCCCAACAAGATTTATGAGAAAGTGTGAGTAGAGATGACTCCCAGTGCCTTCTTTGCCCTCTCTTGTTCCCTTCTTTCTTTCCATGTTCTTTTGTTGATTAGGATTTAATTTGTATCTGTAAGTATTGCTCACAACCACTCTGATTTCAGGATGGTATGTCCATAGTTATGAGGGAGCTATTATGTCTCAAATACTATTCTGGACTTTGAATGAAATGTTTTAAAATATAAGACCTGGGTCATTGGGGTGCACTTCCATTTGCCTCCTGCCAATGAACCAAATGAATGCTAAAAAACCAATTAGTTTGCCCTGCCAATGTCTGCATTTGTTTGCCTTGAAATCTCTTCTTCACCTATAGAATGCCACTTTGCTCTCTTGCACAGCATGCCAGAGGGTGAAGGAATTAACACCAACCCTTACTCCCAGCCGTTCTCAAAGCATGACTGATAGGAGTTGGCATATGAACACGCCAGCTCCCTCACCCTTCAGGTGGGATGCCTCTGTGGGGTGTGTGTTTACTGAGTTCAGGGTCTCCTCTTACAATTAGGCTCCAGTCACCCTGGTAATAGCTGGCTCAGTGACACAGCCTTTGATATCCACTCCCTACTGTTGTTTCTCCTTCCACATAAGTCATTTGCACTTGAATATTTGTCTCAAGATCTGTCTCTGGGGAAAACTAAACCAAAACATCTACCTTCCAGGATTTTTCAACTGGAGAAATACATATGCATGTGAAATGCATGGAGGCAAGGCTAGCACATTGAGACCATGAGTTACAGGTCCCAAACAGGCAGACCTACTTCTCTTCCAGGGACTTGACTGGTCACATTTAGGGTTTTTTGAAGCTATTCTGGCATATTTTTCCAAGAGTTCTTGTCTTAGAGGCAACATTAAAATGGCCTTTTCTTTGTTTTGTTCCAAGTGAGCAGCAATATGACATTTATATTACACCAGTTTTCTGGACTCAAAGCACATTGATAACATGATTCCTATTGAAAGACCTCTATAATTTTCCAATCTTGGGTTTATTAAGAGAATTGTAAGAGACCACTGGTTAGGATCCAGAAGATCTGGGTTTAATTACAAGATTGCCAGTTACTAGCTATGTGACCCTGGGCAAGATCACAGTCTCCCCTGGTTGTTAAATGGAACATAATAAGGCACTCCTTTCAGTAAACAATCATTTTGAACAGCAAACAAGATAATATATTCTCACTTTGTAAGCTATTCAGCGCCATATGCAAGATATTTTTATTGAAACAAGTTCATTAGGTAGTATAATCATTATAGACCTTTGAACTTCTTGAATGGTAAAATGAAACACTGTTCCTGTTGGCCCCCTATATTGAGGGGCCAAAGCCTGTTGCACACAGAGTTACACTGCTGTTCTACAGAACACTGAAACGTGGCTTACCAGGAAGCAATATATAAAGCTCTAAAGCTCAGACTTTGCCTTCCAGACACAGGCAGTGGGATTTAGTTGATCAAGCAGTGGGAGGATTAACTCTCAGCCTAGGAGATAGTAAACATTTTTCTTTCAAATGAAACTACAAGCCTGAGCAGAGTCCCAGCAGGAGCAAGAACATAGCTTTACAAGATGTTCAGGACCCGTGAACATGTTCACGCCAGCAGGTTCCCTCAAGGGTGGGGTGGCCCTCTGAAACAAAGCTCTTTATACAAACTGCGTCAGAAATTGCCATCAACTTCATGAACTGGAGCTCAGTTCCTAGCTCTTGTGATCTTCTCAAAGTCTGATCACCTTTCTGCAACTTTTGTTTCAAATAAGCACAGTTCTTCTGTCTTCTAACAAACTCAAATTTTAACTTGGAAATAAAGGTTTCTTTTCCCATAGATGTCTATGATCTCATCCAAGAAACAGTAGTGTTTAGTGTTTTGCTAAACACTTTAAACACTTTGCTGTTTTATGCTTACTCATGAATAGAAAGTCCCTCTGAGACTCAACGTTTTAGACCACCCTTTCAAGTGACCTTTTAAGAATTTAGGGTAACTGCTATTAGACTCATGGTTAGGTTTGCTGCTATTGGTTATTTTATAATTTTAACCTAAAATATGAGCCTAGATTAAGAGAATCTGATTTTATCTATTCAAGATGTATAAAATGTTTACAGATGCAGTAACAAGTTGAAAGAGTCCATGTTTGCCATGCACATATTGTCTTACAAACATAAGTGTAAGCTTTATGCCAACCTATTTTGTTTTTGTCAGTATCTGCCATAATGCATTATGATCTATTTTTAGGCAACTTAAATTTTACCAGTTCTAAACTAAGCACATAGTTATATTCTTTACTCTTCTATTAAAACTAATGATTGCAATTTCCACAATACATGATAATTCCAAACTTGAAACCTGAAGGAAACTTTGCTCTGCAACAAAGTAATAATTAGGGTAAGAGGATAGGCTCCAGTTAAATGAGGGATCAACTCCCAGCTACATCACTCTCAAACTGGGTCATAATGGTCAAGTTATTCAAGCTTCTAAGACTAATAGTATAGTCCATATAGAGGTGTTGAGAGAAGTAATTAAGATTCGTGCTTAGCTAGTGCCTCGCACATTGCAAAGAATCTAGTGAATGTTATCTACTGCAGTTAGCATCACTCAATGATCTGAGTACATGTCATTGGCAGATGGTGGCAGACAGGCAGCAGACAGTGTGGTGGGCAAATGTTTAGGCCCATCTTGTCTGATGAATAACTTCTGTCAGATAATTATACTAAAAGATTTTGTGAAAATCTTGGTTTGCTACATTTGCCTTCTGGCTGCATGGTTAACCTCTAACCCTGATCGTTTATCATTTAGACTCTTACTAATACATGGATTAAATTAGGCACTTTTAAAGAAAGATAACCCTAAAAAAGAATGGGCAAAAGTGTTGAACATGTGCCTCACAAAAAGAGATATCTAAATGACCAATTAATTTATAAGGAGGCACAAAACTTCGTCACCAGTGAAATGCAAGTTAAAACCATAATAAAACCTTCCTGCCTACTCATTAGACACAAATGTTCAGAAGTCTGACTAAGCTAAGCATTTAGAACTTTTGGTAAAGAACCTATTGTAGACTGCTAGAAGCATAAAGCCACATTGGAAAACATTTTGTGGTATTTAGAAAAGAAGAAACTATTAATTCCATAAATAGGTAGTAATACTACAACTTCAAGCAAAGAAGTAGTCACCATGAAAGTGAAGACTATGATTATCTCTCAAGGGAAGGAAAGGAATATGACCAAGAAGACACATAGAAGTGCTTCTGGGGAAATGGCATATTTCTTCAGTTCAGCGACAGGTAGTAGCATGAGCGTTTGCTTTAAAATTACTCATAATACCAGGAAGTTTGGTTTATGCACTTTTTCTGGAATGTATGTTTCATTTTTTAAAATATTTATTTATTTGGCAGCATAAATCTTTAGTTGAAGTATGCGAGATCTTTAGTCGCAGCAGGCAAACTCTTAGTTGCAGCATGTGGGATCTAGTTCCCTGACCAGGGATTGAACCTGGGCCCCCTGCGTTGGGATCATAGCAATCTTAGCCACTGAAACACAAAGGAGGTCCTATGGAATGTATGTTTCATTTTTATTTAACTTAAAATTGACTGCTATTTAAAGGCTGTTGCTTTTACAAACTCTCAAGAAACTGCTTCCATGGGGATAACCCCAAAATTCCCTCCATAAGAAATTTCTTCTAAGGTGTGAGCTTTGCCCGGGAGTGTTCATCTCTGGATGAGCCGAGGGGTCGGTGGGCCCACTGCACTCTCGTGTGTACTTGCCTTTTGCTTGCTGACTCCAGTGTTGTAGCGATTTGGAATTTTTCCAATTGGTCTAAGGGTTTTAAAACAAATTATTGAGCCTGGAGGGATGTGACAATGTTAATAAGAGAACAAGCCCATAGGCTCTCCATAGTACTCATCCCCTCCTGCTATTATTCATAAGTACATACATCTGGATTACAAAATGTTACACATAAACTTGGTTAATCTTCCTTGGAAGTCATTTAAAACTTTACAAGTAAACTACAGAGTATGGTGAAAACTCTAACACTTTCTTTAATTACCCATATTCCCATCATTTATAAAGGCTCAGACATTTTGATGAATTTCCATCCAGGGAATTATTGTTCTTAGTTTCTTTTGAAGTGTCTTGTGTACATACAAGTCAACACAAATATAGATTGTTGCCATTTTTGTAACACAAATCAAGCTTATTATTTATATTGTTCTGCACCCTGCTTTTTATTTAACTTAATACATCTTAGAGATCTTTCCATAAGAGTTCATAAAGAGCTTCTAAATTGCCAATATCCATTGGATCATAGGAAACGCAAAAGAGTTCCAAAAAAGCATCTACTTCTGCTTCATTGACTATAAAGCCTTTGACTGTGTGGATCACAACAAACTGTGGAAAATTCTTCAAGAGATGGGAATACCAGACCACCTTACCTGCCTCCTGAGAAACCTGTATGCAGGTCAAGAAGCAATAGTTAAAACAAGACAGGAACTGGTTCCAAATTTGGAAAGGGGTATGTCAAGACTGTATATTGTCACCCTGCTTATTTACCTTATATACAAAATACATCATGTGAAATGCTGGGCTGGATGGAGCACAAGCTGGAATCAAGATTGCTGGGGAAAATATGAATAACCTCAGACATTCAGATGACACCTCTTTAGTGGCATAAAGAGAAAAGGAACTAAAAATCCTCTTTATGAAGGTAAAAGAGGAAAGTGAAAAAGCTGCCTTAAAACTCAACATTCACAAAACGAAGATTATGGCATCTGGTCCCATCACTTCCTGGCAAATAGATGAGGAAACAATGGAAACACTGATACACTTTGTTTTCTTGGGCTCCAAAATCACTGCAGGCAGTGCTTACAGCCATGAAATTAAAAGATGCTTGCTTCTTGGAATAAAAGCTATGGCAAACCTAGACAGTGTATTAAAAACCAGAAACATTTTTTTGCTGACAAAGGTCCATATTGTCAAAGCTACGGTTTTTCCAGTAGTCA